TTCGGAGATTGCCTCACACCAAATTCAACGAAAACCCCTTTGTACCCAAGTTTGAGGATCTGAGATTTTATTAACAAAAAATTGCGCGCTTCCCTAAACGACGATTGCCGTCGCGGTTACTTTAAACATGTTTTAGCGCCGAGACACTACTACACTAATGCCTCCAGATAAGCACTATCTGCTGTTGTTTAAACCGCATCAGTTTCTCTCGTCGCGTGACATCTTGCATTTCAAAATGCACCTTTAGTACCCTTTCCTTTAGTACATTTTCTTTTTGCCCGAGTTTCATTACCCGAGGCAATCTCAGCAACGCAACGGAGGTCCCGCCCGAGAATTTTTTCTTTGCGAAAAATATTTGAGATATCTTCGCCATGCTGGAGCAGTCTCATTTTCTGCTCTTTGGAAAAAATTTCCCGTACAAACGAAATGCTGCACATCTTTTTGTGACTAAGGTTAGAATTAAAAGAAAAAGAGGAAACTTACCGCTGGAAATACTTGGCACGAGTTGGTACGTCATAGAATATTTCAATCCTTTAGAGTTTATTCTGCTCTAAGTTTGTCAAAGTATACTTTTCGGATTATATTGAGAATAAAAAAAAAACCAAAACGAATATGGTTCATTAAGCAATTTTCTTAATTGAGAGAGAGAGAGAGAGAGGGAGGGAGAGGGAGAGAGAAAGAGATTTCTTCTTTAATTTAAAGCATTGTTAATTTTCGCACAAAGATACCTTCGAATTTTTCGCGCAATTTCTCAGTGAATAGTATCACAGATTCATAGAGAAGCTTTTGGAAGAGCGCCGGGAGAATCTCAAGGAGGATATCTCGATAATGAAAGTCTCGCCGGGATACAAAGCCTGCGACGTGAAAAGAGGGTAACAAAATCCGCCGGAGGCGACGCATCTCTTTTCGGTGCATCTCCGAAAATATTCCGACTTTCGCGGAAATTCAATAAGTGGGAGAGCCTTAAAAAGGAGAGATAAACGTCACGTCTAAAATAGCGACGTCCTGATATTGAATCTGACTCTCAGCATTGATTCTAATATACAACGCGGTGTATTGTAGGTATATTCTGTATTGTTAGGTTAGAAGAAATATTTCGTTTTACCTTACACCGTCTAGCAATACCACTTGCATTTACGTTGTTTCTTTTCTTCTCTGGTCAGCGAGACTGTCATGCACATATCGAGAAATATTATACTCAATTTCTATCTCACGAACTGCCATTAGTTCGAGTCCTATTAATTTCAGTATATGTTTCTCAATATAAAGAGTATATAAATGATGATTGAAACACAATAATATGATAACGCATAAGGTCGCAATGAAGGATTTATTTCTTTCTTTCTTACATTGATTATGTAAAACAACTATACAAGACTGTACGTCTATACAAGTAGATCCCTATCTCATGATGACCCTAACGTCTGAGAGGCCACTGACCTCCTTGTCGATTTCGGTAAAATTGTTGCCACTGAAGTAGAGATATCGCAATTTGGCGAAAGCAGCGAAAGCGCCATTATCCACCGTCTGGATGTTATTGTCGGACAGATTGACCTCTTCCAGATTGGAGAGCCCAGTAAAAGTGCCGACTACAATGTGAGACAGTTTGTTTCCGTCCAGTCGCAGTAGTTCCAGTTGTGACAACTCCCGGAATGTTTCCGGCTCGAGAGCACTGATCTCGTTCTGCTGAAGAAAGAGTCTCTTCAAACCAACCAAGTCACGGAGAAGCGCCCTGGAGACGCTCGTTATCCGATTGTCATTTAAGTAAAGAACCTCCAACTTGTTCAATCCTCGAAAGATACCGCTTGGCAAGTCCACCAGCCGATTGTAGTCCAAGTGGAGGCGGTTTAGTTCGGTTAATCCGGCGAAAGAATCCAGAGCGATGCGAGTGATTTTATTGTTATTGAGCCACAGATATAACAGCTCAGGATTTAGATTTGAGAAGGATTCTGCCTCGATCGCTTCAATATCGTTGTGACCTAAGTAAAGCCACATCAGACTTGACAGGCCGGCGAACGAGTCTTTCGGTAACGAATTGATCTTGTTGAAGATCAACGACAGCGACTGCAGGTGTCCCAATTCCGCGAACAAGTGCTCCGACAACGGTACCACGTTATCGTCCAAGTGGAGACGCTCCAAGTTGGGCAAACCGCGGAAGGACCCCCTCTTCAACACAGATATCCGGTTGCCTTGATTCAGATACAAGTGCGTCGCCGTCACGTTCCTGAAGGCATCTTCTCGAATTGCCAGAAGATTTAGGTCGCTGATGTCCAATCGATCTTCGAAACGGCGTTGCGTAACTTCGACGAGCGCCCCTTTATAGTGGCAGATGTTGTAACCGTCGATGATTCGACAGGTCGGCTCTTTCACCTCCGATGAGGCGGCCCTCGCCGAGAGGAACAGGACGACTTGCGAGAAAAGCAAAGGAAATCGCGACATCGTGAAAGAGATCAATTGAATGTCGACTAATCAAATGACACGGGTGCATCCGCTTTATAAGTATTGTGTTCTCTACGGAGAGAGTACGCGCGATTAGATAGCGTGTGACTTTTGGCACTGATTATCGCTATGGCTGAAAAATTATCGCGATTACATTCTCGGAAGGACAGACGCGGTTCCAGCGCGGGTGCACAAAATGTCAAAGTTCAAGATAAAGAAAAACATGCCATGGCTTTAATTTTTAAACGACGCGAAAGTTCCCCGTATTATTAAATGCTAAACTTGCATTTTCTCCAGAGTGTAGATTTTTATCAAAATTTATTTCGAGAGCGTCGAAACGTCTAAATCAATCGCATTAATTATTATATAAAAATACGTGATATTTAGCGAGGCTCTTAATAATCACAGGTTCGCTTTAGCAAACCGCACGCATTGTCGATGGCAGGTTGTTCGCCACTGATTATCTGTAACGAGCAGTAGAAAGTACGTAATAGTCCAGTGAGCACCCGGGACAGTGAGGCGATCGTGGAAAGTGGAGTGAAACGGTAGAAAATTAAACAACGACGTTGTATAAGAACGAGTATCTCGAAATGGATAATCCGTTTACCCAAGGTAACCATATTTTTCAATAATCCGATATTATATTTATTTAAGACAACGCAACACATTATTAAATATTTATTGACGCAAATAAACCCGGTATTATCCAACATCTGGACATAAGACATCTTGTCTCTATTTCCATCGATTCATTGATGGATCTTCTTTAATCTCAGCTTAACTAACTCTTTATCTTTTTCTAAGTCTCAGAACGAGGAAAAAAATAAAAAGCAAGTTGCGAAATCTACATTAAGAATGTTATTATGCGCTATGCACGCAAGATATCTTAATATCATTTTTAATATGTCTTGCTTTCAGTGCTGTATTAAGGCGCCATGCATATTGAAAAAAGAAAGATGTTACATCAACCGCATTATTTTAATTAAAAATAATCTTTAATAACAGAATGTTCATGAAACAAATAGAATGTTATTAAATAACGTTATCGTATTTGTTTCATTAATATAATAGTATTATTGTGTTATATTATAATTAACAAAATTATTTTCAATTAAAATAATTCCGTTGATACACCATTATTTTTTTCAGTGGGCTGAAAAATTGCGTACTTTTTGCTATTTTTATACTTGAAACAAATGAATGATTTACGAAAATGTTGCCAATCAATTCTTAAATTAATTTAATCTCCTAAAAAAATTTTACCCAGATAACATCATATCTTAAAAGGACACTCAAAATATTAATTCAGTTCATGGACGCAAAATAGATTCATACGGCTATCTGCTTATATCCCGATTTTAAATATTGTATGTGTTATCTAGGAACTCTTCTTAGGGTTGCTAACTCTCGTCGCACGAAAAGAGTACATTGATTGCACATAAAAAGGATACATTTAAAAAAAAGTAAAAAAGATGAAGAAAGGGTTTGCTATTTTAAATATGCCGATATTCAATAAAATGACACTTTTAGAATGTAATTTTTATTGACAGCCTCAATTCAGTCTTTATAGTTACATATAAATATATTGGTTCACATTTTATCAGGTTTTTTAATGTTAATATTAATACAATTTGAGAAAATAAAATAATTCACATATTCAACGTATCTTGCAATTTGTAAGTTTTTTCAACAAAATATATATATGTATAATCAAACCTCTAACAAAACTTTTAAAATATAATATAATATAT